AAGCTGGAACCCGCCAGCGTCACCTACGTCGCTGTGAACAACGCGTGCGAGAAGAGCAGGCGTCGTTTGTGGCATCAACCCGTGGCGCTGCGGAGCGAGATGGCGGTTGTGAAGCTGGGGCCCAACATCATCGCTTACGGCGCTGTGGACAGCGAGTGCGAGAAGAGCAGGCGTTGGCCGCGGCAGCAGGTCGTGGCGCTGCTGAGCCAGATGATGATTGTGATGCTGTTGCCCAACATCATCACCTACAGCATCCTGAACAGGTCGTGCGAGGGGAGCAGGCGTTGCCAGCGGCAGCAGTTGGCGGCTTCGCTGGGCGAGATGGTGGTCGTGCAGCTGGGGCCCAGCATCATCACCTACGGTGCCCTGAACAGCGCGTGCGAGGGGGGCAGGCGTTGCCGGCGGCAGCAGGCAATGGCGCGGCTGAGCGAGGCGGCAGACGTGAAGCTGCGGCCCAACACCATCACGCACGGCACCCTGAACAGCGCGTGCGAGAAGAGCAGGCGTTGCCAGCGGCAGCAGGCAATTGCGCGGCTGAGCGAGACGGCAGACGTGAAGCTGCGGCCCAACACCATCACGTACGGCACCCTGAACAGCGCGTGCGAGAAGAGCAGGCGTTGCCAGAGTGCCAGAGGCAGCAGGAATGGCGCGGCTGAGCGAGACGGCATGCGTGAAGCTGGAGCCCAACACCATCACGTACGGCACCCTGAACAGCGCGTGCGAGAAGAGCATGCGTTCGCAGTGGCAGCTGTCCTCGAGGGCAGCGGCAGGGAATGCAGTGGCCGCGGCAGTGGCACGGTGGGAAGAGATGGGGAGCGCGACCACGGCAGTGGCAGCCACTCCCTTTTCACGTGACATGGGACCGCGTGTCCTCCTTTCCCCCCCACGTGCACTCCGCTCCCCTTGTGGCGTGCGCGCCCCGTGGGCTGCGACTGCTTGCTGGTCCACCTGGTCTCCGTCTTTGCTTTTTTCCCCTGCCCCCTCTCTTGTCTTTACATGATCTGGGACCGTGTGTCCTGCCTGTGCCCATCGGGGGCCGTCCCCCCTGTGGGCACCTGCGGGGCGGATTGGCACGACGACGGCTGGCGCGTGGCGCGCCCTGTCTTCTACATGTTCTGAGACCGTGTGTCCTACCTGTACCTATCAGGGCCCAGTCCCCCACGTGAGCACCCACGGTGCGGGCTGACGCGACGACGGCTGGCGTGGGACGCCGGCCTCTCTCCTCCCTGTTCGCTCCCCCCCCTCGTTCGCTTCCCCCCTCCCATGGTTGCAGCGCCCAGCACCGCGCGGCTTCGGCCAGGTGCTGGGCGCTGCACCTTGCCGCCTCGGCGGCCCCGCTCGCCATGGCGCTGCGCGACTCAGGCCCGGCCCTCGGTCATGCGGACGTCAGCGCATCGTGTGTGGCTGCTGCCCGTCTTCACGTGCTGACGGTGCAGGGCAGATTTTCTCCCTGCTTTCCACCGACATCCTGTCGGACAAGGACGGCCTTCGTTTGTGGCCGCGCCTCTAGCTGGCTGCTTCTTGGTCTTGGATTGGAGTACCACCCCTGGCCTCATCCGCATCACCCGGTGACACAACGTTGCACATCGCCTTCGTGGTGCTCTTCTTCCTCCTGGGCCTCCTCCGCATCATCCGGTGGCACAACGTTGCTCATCGCCTTCATGGTGCTCCTCCTTCCCCTGGACGTCGACCTGGTCAAATGGCACGTCCTCTTCTGCAGTGCTTGAGGCTGGTGTTCACGACGTGCCGTTGACGGCAACACCACATTGCTCACCCTCCGGATCTTCGCCTCCGATCCTTGTCTGCTGCGTACCTTCTCCTGTGCGAGCTCTTCGGCACCGCCTGCGCCCCGGGCCCGGCCCGCTCTGGCCGCCTGAGGCCCTGCTTGCCTGTGCCCTGTCTCCCTAATTTAAGTTGTGCGTAGCCCGCCTAGCTTTTAGCGGAAGAGGTTCGTTTTCGCCCCGTCGCCCAACAGTTTTGCTGGCCCCGTGTCGTCTTTGTCCGGGCCAGTTTGGCCTGTGCTGTGCTCTTCCGCTGTTCTGGCAGCTGACCTCTCTCTTTCTTTTCCTCTGACTATTGGGCGCGCTCGAGGTTTGCCGCTCGGGCCTTTGACGGCGAGTGTCGTGCCCCGCCCGGGATGGCCAAACAAATAATCAAACGCACACATATACAATACACATGCATGGCTAAATGCATGCATGTATGTATGCATGCATGGACGTACGCATGCATGTATGAGTGCATGTTTGTAATGCGTGATTGTCTGCATGTATGTATGCATGCGTGTCTGTCTGTTTGTCTGTATGTCAGTATTTATGCATGTATGTACACATTAATGTTTGCATGCATGTATGCTTGTATGTATCCATGTATGTATGCATGTATGTATCTCTCTATATGCATGCATGCATCTATGCAGACATGCAATCATGTTTGTATGTATATATTAATGGATTGATGTATGTATGCGTACATGGAATCATGTATGTCTGCATGTGTGTATTTCGGTTTTTATGTATATATACGTGTCTGTCTGTCTGTCTGTCTGTGTGTCTGTCTGTATGTATGTATGTATGTATGTATGTATGTATGAGTGATTGTATGCATGCGTGTAAATGTTTATGTAGTAGATATGTATGTGTGTACGTGTGTACGGTGGGCTCGCGCAGCCTGGCTCCCTTTGGATGGTCCCTGCGCTACCCCGCTTGGCCGCTGCGCGAGGGCCAGGTGCGCACTCAGGCTCTCTGCGCTTGCTGCCCGACGTCGGCCGCGCTGCTGCACGACGTCGGCCGCGGCGCCAAACTGTGCACACGGTGGCGTCGCGCCGCCTCCGCGTGGCGGCAGCGTGGGCGCGGCCGTCCCGTGGGAGGGCGGCCCGGGCGGCGGAAGGAGTCGCTAGTTAAGCGCCGGGCCGCTCCCGCGGTGGCAGGAGCAAGAGTCCGCGCTGCCTTGCCAGGGGCCTTCCGGCGAGGCCAGGACGAGGTGAAAGTTCAGTCGGGCCCGTCGTTCTACAAGAGGGATATTCAAGAATAGTAAGAAGATAATCAGGGGACGATTTTTCAACTATTTTTGGCGATTTTTCCCAACCATCCCGTTGTGTTGGGTCTTCGTTTTAAGAGACGGCGCCCCGCGTTCTCCTCCCGCCTCCTTCCTCCCCCTCCTCCCTCCCCCTCCCTCCTCCCAGGCCCCAGGGAACTCCACCGAGGGCCCCAGTGGCAGGGTCCGCATGCCACCGCCGCCTCCATTTCGGCGCATCCCTCACACGGTTCGTGGCCCCATAGGGAGCTCCACCGAAGGCCCCAGCGGCAAGGTTTACATGCGTCCCCGCGATTCATTTCAGCACATCCCTCACACGGTTCGTTTCCCCATAGGGAGCTCCACCGCGAAGGCCCCAGTGGCAGGGTTTACATGCGTCCTCATGATTCATTTCGGCGCACCCCTCGCACTGTTCGTGTCACCATAGGAAGCTCCACCGAAGGCCCCAGTGGCAGGGTTAACATGCGTTCCCGAGATTCATTGCGGCACACCCCTCACACGGTTCGTGGCTTTATAAGGAGCTCCACGGGAGGCTCTAGTGTCAGGGTTTGCATGCGTCCCCTCCACTCACTTCGTCACATCCCTCGCACGGTTCGTGGCCCCATAGGGAGCTCCACCGAGGGCCCCAGTGGCAGGGTTTGCATGCGTCCCCGCCACTCACCTCGCTGCACCCCTCACACGGTTCGTGGCCCCATAGGGAGCTCCACCGAAGGCCCCAGCGGCAGGGTTTGCATTGCGTCCCAGCGATTCATTTCGGCACACCCCTCGTATGATTCATGGCATCATCAGGGGCTCCACCGAAGGCCCCAGTGGCAGGGTTTGCATTGCGTCCCCGCGATACATTCATTTCGGCACACCCCTCATAAGATTCATGGCACCATCGGGGGCTCCACCGAAGGCCCCAGTGGCAGGGTTAACATGCGCTCCCGCGACTCATTTCGTCACACCCCTCACACCGCTCGTGGCCTCATAGGGAGCTCCACCGAAGGCCCCAGTGGCAGGGTTTACGTGCGTCTCCGCGACTCATTTCGTCACTCTGCACGGTTCGTGGCCCCAGAGGGAGGTCCACCGAAGGCCCCAGTGGCAGGGTTTACATGCGTCCCCGCCACTCATTTCAGCCCACTGCTCACACGGTTTGTGGCCCTATAAAGAGCTCCACCGAGGGCCCCAGTGGCAGGGTTGACATGCGTCCCCGCCAGTCATTTCGGCACACCCCTCACAAGGTTCGTGGCCCCATACGGAGCTCCACCCAAGGCCTCAGTGGCAGGGTTTGCATGCGTCCCCGCGAGTCATTTCGTGGCCCCATAGGGAGCTTCACCGAAGGCCCCAGTGTCACAGTTCGCATGCGTCCCCCCTGCCCAGTACAGCGTTTCGTGGCCCTCTAGGGAGCTCCACCGAAGGTCCCAGTGGCGCAGTTCGCATGCGTCTCCCCCACCCAGAGCGGCCTTTTGTGGCCCATAGGGAGTTCCACGGAAGACGATACCCAAAACTGCGGTACTCACAACTGCATATGGTTGGGTTCTTCGCCAGGCTACTTGAATTGTTTTTTGATAATTTTCTGGTTTCTTCCAAAATCCGCCTGTAGGAGGACATGCTCGACCTAAGGTTAAAGTCGAGTGAGGATAAATCGAGAATCTCTGCAATCTGGCGGCTCTAGAGGACGTGTCAGGGGCCGGGGCTTCTAGAAGAGTTCCGGGCGGCTTTGTGGGAGAGTTCCGGAACGTTTTGTAATAGATTGTTCTTCGTCCCAGCCGCATCCTACACTCGTCGCGCACCAAGCGAGAGCCCATGGGAGGCTGGGCAGTGGCTGGCGAAGGTCGGGCCGATCTTCCCGTCCCTCACCCTCGCCTCCATCCCACGGCAAGCGCGCGAGGTGGAGGAGGGAGGATAGGGGGAGGGAGGAACGGATGACGACGACGACGACAACGACGACGACGACCCCGCGCCCAGCGCCGCGGCACCAGGCCGTGCTCTGCACAGCAGGCCAGCCAGGAGGAACGCTGAGGCCGCGCCCGCGGGGCGTCCGTCTCTTGGCCGCATCCCGCCACTCCGCCTGCCTGCGCGCCCTCCTCCTCCTCCTCCTCCTCCTCCTCCTTTTCCTCCTCCTGCTCCTCCTCGTCCTCCTCCTCCTCCCTTTGCTTCGACCTCGCTCCGGCTCGAGGCAACGACCTGTCGAATGCAGCCCGGACTGTTCAGTGCTAGCACGCTCCAGCAGGCGTGGAATCCCAGGCATGTAGCGCAAGGCGGAGGCTGGTCGCAAGGGCGGGTCGGGCGTTTCGCCTGAGGCTTCTTTCCATTCAGGATCCTGAAGCTTGAGATTTGCAAAAGTTTGACGGATGGAGGGCGGGTGGTTTTCAAAATGTGGCTCTCGCCTTAGCGCCGCACGCATTCGTTTAAACATTTGCAAGAGATTCGCGGAATGGGGCGGACCGCTACCAAAATGTGGCTGTGGCTATTTCGCAGCGCACACTCGTGTTAAACAATTTCAGTCGTTTCACGATTCGAGGGTGGGCCGTTATCAAAATGTGGCTCTCGTTTTAGCTCACATTCGTTTAAACACTTGCAAGAGGTTCACGGATTGAGGGCGGTTTCTTACAAAATGTGGCTCTCGTCTTTGCGCCGTTCACATCGGTTGAACATGTGTAAGAATTTCACGGATTCCCATGGTAACGTACCAGAAGTGGTGTTATGGAGCGATTCAGGATTGTCAGGGCGCAAAAGGTACGTTGATTCGCGGTGTTGAAGTTCTAGGAATGGTGTTTTGGCAAGATTCAGGACCGTCAAGACGCACCAGTCAGGTTGATTCGTGGCGTTGAAGTTCCGAGAACGGTGTTTTCGCACGCTTCAGGATCTTCCAACGGTTGTCTCCCAACTGGGTTATGCTTTCAGAGGACATGAATTACTGTAGCGGCCCATGACGAGGGAGGCTGAAGGGAGGGTTTATTCCAACATCCTTGATGAGTCCTGGGTTTGCACTGGTCCTTCTGCTTCTCCTCCTCCTCCTCCTCCTGCTCCTCCTCCTCCTGCTCCTCCTCCTCTCTCTCCCCCTTTCCTGGGGGAGGTCAGCTGCCCATGTCATCGATCCTAGCCAGGCCCCTCCCGGGCCCAGGGTCGGGGTCTTCGCCTCCCGGCTTGACCATGAGAGGGCATTTGCTCCGATCCTGCCTGAAGGTCGGCCCGGCCAGGGCCAGTGAGGTGGACAGTTCACGTTCTACGACCCGTCTCCCTCTCCTCCTCCTCCTCCTCCTCCTCGTCCACCTCCAGCTCCGCCTCCTCCTCCTCCTCCTGCTCTTCCTCCTCCTCCTCCTTTCCCTCCTCCTCCTCCTCCTCCTTTTTTCCCTCCTCCTCCTCCTCCTCCTCCTGCTCCTCTCCCCCTCTCCTGGGGGACGTCAACTGCCCATTTCATCGATGCTAGCCAGGCCCCTCCCGGGCCCAGGGTCGGGGTCTTCGCCCTCCAGGCCTGACCAGGGGGGCATTGTGCCCCGACCCTGCCTGAAGGTCGGCCTGGCCAGGGCCGACCGGAGGTGGACAGTTCGCGTCTTCCGACCCGTCTCCTCCTCCTCCTCCTCCTCCTCCTCTTCCTTCCCTCATCCTCCCCCTCCTCCTCCTCCTCCTGCTCCCCCTCCTCTTCTTCTTTCCTTCTCCTCCTCCTCCTCCTCCTCCTCCTCCTCCTCCTCCTCCTCCTCCTCCTCCCCCTCCCCCTCCTCCTCCCCCTCCTCCTCCTCCTCCTCCTCCTCCTCCTCCTCCTCCTCTTCCTCCTACTTCCCCTGCTCATCCTCCGCCTCTCTCAGAAGCTCCACGTCGTCCCTCCTCCTCCACCCGTGCTTCGTCTCATGCCCCCCTTCATGCTCTTGCGCCTCATCCTTTTAGGCAAGCCGCGGAGACAAGGCTCGCGCCGTCAGCGATGGCGGGCTGTGGCCCGCCTGCCTCGTCGCACGCGAAGAGGCCGCAGGGTGGTGGCAGAGAGAGTGCGCCTCCACCGCGGACAGCAGCATGTCCAGCCCGTCCCGTAACCCACTCCATACGATCACCTCCATCTCCCGAAACTACTTTGCCACGCCATTCTGACAACGGCAGGCGTGGTAATGACGTGGGAAGAGGGCGAGGAGAGCCACTGGCAGGACAGAAGCAGGCAGTAGTGCGGGTCCCTCATCAGGTTTCCACCCTCTACCCCTCGGCCCGAATAAAAAGGAAACTCGAGGTGCGCGGGATCGGGGGATGCCGTCATAGAGGGAGCCTCCAAAAGAGGACCTGCACCAGCCAGCTCAACAGCGGGCGCGGGGATCAGAGAGGCGAGGACGGACGGTAGGATAGAGAACGAGGGCGTGGCAAAGAGACAGCTCGTCTCGCTCAGAAAGCCCAGAGAATGAGGGCTCCTGCTCCTGCTCCTCCTCCGCCGTCCTCCTCATCCTCGTTTGTATTCCTCCTCCGCCCCTTGTCTCCTCCTCCACCATCCCTTTCTTC